CATATAAGTTGTGTCATTAATTTCATATATATATATAAATTAAACTAATATATTATATATATATATTTAATTTATATATAAATATTTTTATAATTTATAATAGATTTTATTTATATGATTACACTTAATAACTTTATTACTCATCATCTTACTTTTACAACACATTATTTATAATTAGTTATTGGTCAAAATAACTCAGAAGTCCCTGTATTAGGATATTTTTTTCACTTTAGTCTCTCTATTCAAAATCGATACTAAAGTTATTAGTCATCATCTTACTTTTTATAATACATTGTTTATAATTAGTTATTGATCAAAATAACTTGGAAGTCCCTATATTATGGTATTTTCTTCAATTTAGTCGCTCTACTCAAAATTATCATATTTTAATCTTTTAATATTAAAAATTATTTCAATTTAGTCTCTCTAACATTTTCCATCCAAATTGATTGTTACGATGCTAATGTCAGCGTTGACGTGGCATATAAAGTCAACATGTCAACGGTGATGTGGCATTTATAGATTTAAGTTGCCATGTGGCACGTCAAGAGGTTGCTACATGGCAATTTATTCTTCAAAAGATGCACTTGCTAAAATTTGAACTCAAGACCCCTAACAAATAAACCTATATCTTTACTATCATATCTAAACTCTTACGTTTAATAATATCTTACCTGAATTTCTTTTTTTTTTAAGTTTTTTTGTCTTCCATAAACTTATGTCATTTTTAAACTTTCTTATACTCTTTAAAACCATAACCATAAAAACCCTTTGGAACTTTTTTCTCAAAACGATGTAATTTTATGAAAAGAAAGAAAAAAGGTAAGAAAGAGAAGAAGGTTCTAAAACAATGTAGTTCTATGAAAAGAAAGGAAAAAATAAGAAAGAAAAAGAAAGAAGAAAAGAAAAAAAAATTCAAGCAAAATATTATAAAACATAAGAGTTTAGGTGTTAGGGTAAAAATGCTGGTTTATTTGTTAGATGTGCTAGGTTCAAATCTTAACAAGTGCACCTTTTGAAGAATAAATTACCATGTGCAAACTTGAACCCATAAGTGTCACGTAAGCAACTCAACCTTAGAATGTGATGTGATACTGACACGTTAATAACCAAAACCCTTTTATATGTCATGTTAGCGGTGGCATCAATACTATAATGTTCAATTTAAATGAAAAATGTTAGAGGGATTAAATTAAAAAAATTTTCAAAATTAAAAAATTAAAATATTACGATTTTGAGTAAAAAGACTAAATTAAAGAAAATACCCTAGTATAGAGACTTCTCAGGTTTTTTGACTATTGGTTATTATTTATACAAACTTTAATATAAAAATTAAAACATGATAACATATAAGTTGTGTAATTAATTTCATATATATAATAAGTAATATTCTATATATTTAATTTATGTAAAAACATTACTATAATTTAAAATAATTTTTTTTATATGATTACACTTAATAACTTTGTTAGTTATGATCTTAGTTTTTATAACATATTATTTATAATTAGTTGTTATTTATACAAACTTGGATATAAAACATTATAACGTTATAGTTTTATTTTGTTAATGTTAATTTTATTATCTTTGACTTTTTGTTATGTTGAATCTTGAATGTTAATTTGATGGTTCATGCAAAAAGGCATAATTATGTGAGTCGAAGAACAAATGTATGTTTTTTTTATGTTTATATATTTGTATATTTTATAATTATATATATAATTTATAAATTTTAATATTATAATTTAAAAAAAAAGATAAAATTTTGATTCGTTGGTCCAAGATCAATCAGTCAAATTAATTTTATATTTAATTAATTTAATTTTTTTTTATATTTGATTGATTTTTTAAAAGTATTTAATCTATTTGATAATATGACGGACTAAAACATCCAATCTATTCATTTCCTCACTTCTAAACTAAACCCGATACCTAAGCTTGTTGCGCCAAATAAATGGCCAAGAGTTTGGGCTAGGCATACCTCTGAAACACTGGGTTGGACTGGGCCTTGCTTGTTTAATCTTTGGGCTGGAGCTGGACTGAGTTGAGGGAGCTTCAATCCAAATCCCCGATGAAGACGAAGAATAGCATCGTATGATGGCCTCATTGAAAGCCCAGTCGTCACCCACGACCAGGCTCCAAATGCTTCTCAATCGACTCATGCTCAAAGGAAACGTCAGTCGTTAGCCATATTAGCTCCAGTATTACTCCCGTTAATTCATGGTCCTCCATCCGTTTTAACATTCCCCCGGGAGTGTTACAAATAGTCTATCATTGCACGACAACCTCCCGTGCATATAATAAATAGTTAAAATGCACAATCTTTGCATATCACAGCATGTTTTATTTGTTGATGGGGAAGAGAGATTCATGTTCAGCTTTTTGAGTAGAGTATTATTTGTTTTTATTGTTGAGGCAAATGTTTAAACGAATAGTAAAATATCTTTAATTTAAGGAGAAAAATGTTTATTATGCATATATGTTATATGTTTAATTAGAATAGAGACCGTAATCCTAAGGATCAATTTTCAACCGAAGATCTAAAACTTAATATAAAGTATTTTAACAGATAAGTACTAGACCACAAACCAAGCCAGTTTATAGCTAGGACCTTCCCCAACTTGCAACATGCTGCCCGTGATTTAATTAAGAGATTGAATCCTTACATTTGGGAACCTAGCCTCTGAATGGAAAACAGGGTACAAAGAAATGCCTCTTCTTTACAACTGGGAACAAACGTCAACAATGATAAAACTAAAACCATTCCTAGCTAGAAGGCGTGAATCTTGATGATTTCCCTGGAATTGTCCTGAGGTTTCTAATCTGATTATATATATATATATATATACACATATATATTGTATTTCAGCTTGGTACTCACCACCTTTATTTTTTAAACACTAAACTCGTAGCCCTAATAATCAAGGTTAACATCTTGGACCCCTCCAAAAGAATAATCAAATTTTAACATCAACTTGTACTTTTGTTTAAGCTTTTCTTTGTATCCCAACTATTCCTCCACTTGTCCACTTTGCCATATATTACAGCAACTAGTTCCCATGATTATCATAAGTTTCTCCATTGCAACTATACTCTAGCTTGAATTTTGTTGCTTGGTGAGGGCAACTTTGGGAAAACTATTGCACAAAAACATACTTTAGATGCCACATACATAGCATATGTCTTAATCTTTGCAACAAGGACTATTGTAATTGTATGAAGGTTTCATCTAATGATTGTATGCTTAAAATAGTTTGAATTAATTATGGTGTTTATATATATATATTTATATATGGAAATGTTTGACGAATTATTCTTAAGATGATGAAATTTTTGTCATTTTCTTGAATTTTTTTAAATAATTTAATAGTACAAAAAGTATATTTGATTTAATATGCTTTTGAAAATAATGACATATTTTCTGAAACAATGAATAAAGTATAGTGATAATTTATTAAATAATTAATTACAAAATACAAATCTAATTCGAATTAAGTGAAATCGATGAAATCGATATCAAGGTAGTATTAGAGAAACATTCGACGAACAATTGACCATATTTGACTTTTATATTATTTTTTATGAAATGATGAAAACAATTTTAGGTTGAAATTTTCGCACCCCCATTTTAAATGAAAAGGTAAATCATTATAGTTATAATTTTGCAGCTTATATACAATTATTTATAATCATCATAGAAAAAATTAAAATTTTATGATTAATTTACCATATTAACATCATATAAAACAAAATACGAATTCACATATATTACAAAGAAAGTAATTGACTTGTTATATCAAAAATAAAAAATGATTAGATATATTGAGTTTCTGAAAGTCCTTCATAGAAAGCATGTGCATGAAAGATTTTAAAATGAAACATACTTTTATTTGACTCAATTATCATGTTGATGTATATATAAGTTAATTCTCATCGTTATGAATGCATGATCACTTGTGGAGTTATCAGTGAAATTATTTCTTTGCTCAGAAGATAATAGTGCCTTTTGGTAGAGACTGGAGTGGGTAAAGATTCAATAAGTAAAGGGTTTTAACACACACCGACCTGTCCCCAAATCTGATCCCTAAAACAGGAAGGCTACAGGAAAGCATCATGGGAATAAAATACTTTCAACATAAAGGCTCAACCATTCTTTAGTACTACCATGTTAGATAGTTTAGTCACTTCAATCAAGTTATTGCCCCCACAAATGTTTTTTTCCCATTGAAATGGAATCAAACAGCCCCTTGAATTGAGACCAGCAGTAATATTTTCTCTTCCCTGAAATAAAATAATCGCCAGACAGAAACCAGGCAAGTTGTCCAAATTGAATGGCAATGGAAAGCGATGGAAAACGAGGAGAAAAGTAGAGCCTTGGGACTCGGCATTGAATTTTGTTCGGCAACTTGCAACGGTGGGGCCCCACGGACGCTGTTTTCCTTTCCCTTCACCAAACCAAACTGAGGGGACTGTCCGCTCACCATCAAAACAACAGGCAGACGAAGGAGGCTTTTTGGGGTGCCTGCCTTGGATTATCACCGCATTCTCACTTGCTCTTTTTGGGTTCCTGTCCCACGTGACATTGGACCCACCCAACACTGCCACTTCACCATACCAACAGGTTTTTGCCCGCAGAAAAGATTTTGGACACATTTTTGGCTCACCCTTCTACAAGCAGCGCCCAAGACTGCCCTGTTTCCATTTTTTGACTTTGCATGGTGCTGCTAGTTTAGAACGACCCTGAAATTTGAGAATGATGAAAAAGCAAAATAAGTTCTATAGTCCAACTTTTTCCATCTTATCAACAGTCTTAAAGCTAGATATCCGTGACCTGGTGGATGTAAATGCATACATGCAGCATGATTTCATTTGAATTCGAGTACGGAACATGATAATACACCACGCCATCGTTGGGAATTTACGGTCCAAATGTGCTGGCAAGGAATAATGGAAGCCCATCGATTAATGTATACTACAGAGTACTCAAGATGGCAAAACTAAAAAAGAGTACAAAGCCACAGATGAAAAGTCATTGACATGGTTACCACAGCTAGAATGGCAAAACATGACAACAGAGGCAAAACTCTAATAGCCGCCTCGTTTCTTCGCGTTGCTCAAGTAAAAGAGCCAGATTAATCTTCTTGCGATTGTATGGCTTTCCCTAGTGCTGATGTTGCCGCTTTGGCACTGTCCATTACAATCAAAACCTCCCCCTCCGGCACAGGATGCACCTTCATCTCCCTAGTTTGGTCAAGTCAATACGCTAAGTTGGCCAAGGTTGAATTTTCATTAATCAATTAGTAAACTGGTGTATCATCAAGCAGAAATGCCACAGTCGGTGGAAGTAACATCATGGCCAGATGAAACCTTTTGTTTCCTGCCATTTCTCCGTCTACTACCGCCTGCTGCTCCTTGCATTCCTCCTCTGGCTCCTCTGCGTTGCTTGATATCTTGCCTGTGTTCCACCTGACTTCACAACATCAATCAGAAACAATACATTAATGTGAATTCTACATTTACTTGAAAGGATGGCGGGCGGACCAGAGTATTTCAAATTAATACCTCAGCCAAAATTTACTTTGCGTTCGTCCAAATACTTAGTCCTGTTTCGAATCTTATACTTTAGATAACACATCTTAGTCTTGAAATAAACAAACAACAAAATACAAGCACTTTCGGCCTCTCTTCATACCTAATATACCTAGTTCACTGTTTGCTGCCTCAATGATAATGTTTGTATTGTTTTTTCTGACACATGCCTTGACCCAAAAGTTTGACAAAGATTAACCAAAAGACTGGACTAGATGTTAGAGCTTTTAAATACCAATCTACCTTCAAAGTGCAGAACTAAAGCCATACAATGAGTTTCTATATATCATATGATCAGACAACAAATCCAGCTTATGAATAGAATACACACTTTAGTCGAGCACAGAACAGATTACAGCTGTATTCAGCTTATTTCGCATGCATTAAGAACCCCACATTTTGTAAACTAAATTCCTTCCAACCTCAAACCCAAGTCTTTAATATCCAACTTACCTAATCCACTATAACATTTAGAATGCCATGAGCCCATGACACACTAGGAATTCACAGATTACATAACATATAGTAGGATAGTATGCAGGAAAGTATTGCACTTACCCCCAGACAAAAACTGTGAAATTGTGCATCGAAGCTAGAAGAACTCTCCAGCCTAGTCTCCTCAGAACTCATTTCAGAGGAATTCCGCTTGTTGGAGCTGGAACTTTCACCATATGACCCAAACGATGATGAAGCAGAACAGGAAGTAGTGGACTGACCAGTAGACTCAAATGAATCAATGTCCGCTTGGAACATTTCTTCAAACAATTCCTGTAGTTCCTCGAAGCTTTCCTCTCCATTTTCCTATAAGTTCAAAATTACATAAACATTGTAAAACCTACTATTTAAAGCAAGTACTAGTTAAAAAATTTTTCTGATCAATTCCTTGGTGTTACAGTTGGATGTATTTTGGAATAACCAAAGTTTGATCAAACTTCAAAATGCGCTTCCCCATGAAGCCACAACCTTTTAGACTCTAGAATTCTTCTTGGAACATTCCATTATCTCATGGGGAGAGGGTTACTGCTCTAAACATTGAAACCTGTTAGACCATTAAATGGCACCTAATAGCGTAACATAGCATCATTCTCTTAAATATGTAGTGGAATGAATATAATCAAACTGATTAATTGTTGGAAATACCTGGAAGATACAAATATAATTAAACAAATCCACTTTCCCAGGGCCCCCCAAGTCTTCCTTTCAATGTGTCCTTCCATGGAGTAGGGAGACCATTGGCCAATCCCTATAATGGGCCCAACTGTAAAGGACTTGGTGCGATTCCGAACAGATAAACGATCACATCAACCATAAATTAAAAAGCGAAAAAAAAGAAAATCAGAAGACAAATCGGGCCTGTACAAAAAATAATTTTCTTTTGGACTCGTGACCTCTAACTGGCCCATTTGCAATCTCTTCTGTCAACTAAACAGAAGCAATGCCACAAATATAAAGGTTAAAAACAGCTAATACCTAGGATTTTCCAAAAGCAACCCCTTACCCTCCGATTACTTGCTCTATAATTTGTATAGGTTACATAACAATAAAAACGAAATTGGATCCAAAAACCCATGGACTCTCCTCCTTTTCATCAATCAATGAAATAAGAAACAGAAGCTTACACTAGATTTTGTCTGGCTCATCATCACTGCCATTTCGTTCAAAAAATCTCCCATTCCCTGCAAATAACCATTCGAAAAGGAATGCTTTTGTTTTCAAGATGGCTTTGACTATCCTTAATCTCATTTAAGGAAAGTAAAAGAGAAAAGAGAGAAAAAACACAAAAGAACGATAAAAAAGCAGTTAAGAAGAGAGAAGAAAGGTACATTTTCGTCATCATCACTGTCATAAGCTCCTACGTCGTACAGAAACCTCTTGTTTGAGTCAGACAGAACTGTAAGACAAGTCAGGGCAGAGAAACAAGAAACGTAGAAAAGTGAGTCAAAAACAGCATCTCGTGAATCCAATAATTCCCACTCAAAATACTTTAAAATGAAATCAACTTTATCAGTTATTACTATAAAAATGAATATTGCACTCGCATCGAGAAATAATACTAAAATAACAATATTAAATAGTAAGCGAAAATTACCAGAATAGGCTTGTTGAATGGCCTGAAATTTCTTCTTGGCTTCGTCCACGAACTTTGCATTTCCCGAGGCTGAGCAACGATCAGGGTGCCATCTCTGTCCCAACACATACAAGACAACAAAAAACCACTTGATTTTACTACAAAAATCGTTCAACTCGTTCACACAATTCTCCCCTGGACAATTTCCAACCCCATCTTTTCTTTCTTCATTAACCAATATCTAGTTCCCCAGGTTTGTTATGAAAAACCCATTATTTCCATGTTACAATTATGCCTCGGAAATCTACAGGATCCGTTTATAAGCTTGGATACGAGTAACTTTTTTTTTTAGCAAAAACTAGAGTTTTAATTGAATTATGAATTCCAGGTTCAAAGTGCATGAGCATACATTAAGACCACAACAGATACAATTCAAATCAAACATTATGATCTTTCAAAGTCTAGTTTTTTTATCTCAATTTTAACAGGACCAAGTTGATTGAAATCTGGGCTATGGAAAAAGACAAAAGAGAGATGGTTCAAAGAAGGATGGCTAAAACTCTAACCAGGGCAAGTTTCTTATAAGCAGTCCTGAGCTCTGTCGGAGTGCATTCTTTATTCAACCCCAAAACTGCATAAAAATCATTGTTTTTCTCTTCTCCATTTGCCATTCTTCGAAACCAAACCAACAAACCCAATCTCAAAATCAACAACAACCCAAAACAGAGTCCTTGTCTTGTCGACAAATTATAACCAACAACAACAACAACAAAACTTAAAACCAAAAACCAGGAACCAAAAGAACTTGAAACCAAGCCAAACCCACCTATGATATAAACGCCAAAACAGGACTAAATTCTTATAAACATGACTTAGGACTACATCTTTGTGGAACTGCAACACGGAATCCTTAGCACATCTTTCCGTGAAGGGAAAGTTTTGAAGATGAGAAGAGAGAAAAAAAAATTAAAAACAGAGTACACGAGAGAGGAAGGAAAGGAAATAGTCCCCCTTTCTCTCCCCACAACGCTAAAGGCCAAGAACTCTCCAGAAACCGGTCATTTATATCAGTTTTTATGGTTTGTTTGTTGTTGGTATTTGTTTATTCATTTCTTTTCTTCAAAAGAAATAATATTGCCCAGATTATAATAAAATAAGTAAAGAAATGATAATACAAGGAATAAAAATAAATGAGTTTTCTGTGTGGGGGGATGATAGATAAGGTTAATGTACGGTGGGGATTGGATGAGAGTGGTAGATATTTTTGCAGATTTGTGTATCCAGAAGGTTCTGTGTTTACTGTGAAAGGGGGAAGGGTCCTTTCTGACGGCAACTTTGGCCATGTTAACGAATTAAATTAAATATTATTACAGACATTAATGTAACAGCAGAAAGAAAAAAGAAAAGTTGGGTCCCGCTTTAATGTTACTGTTTAACAGCTTAGCTTACAACAACAGCTTGTGGATAACCTCCTGGGTCAATTGTTGACTGGAATTTTGGTTTTCTTTTTTTTTTTAATCCTCATAAACAGTTGAAAATGATATGGAGCTCGTTAGTGCCAACCATTGAGTAAAGAAGGCATTCAGCACATGCTGAACCAACTAGGCCACCCAGCTTCGGGTGGCTCTTTGCTAGGTCAAGTCTTAGAGTTTGGAATACAAAAATATGAGATTGACTAATATTTGGAGGATTCCATTTCAATTGAATTAAAAATGATAAAATAAATTTAGATAAAAATTTTAAATTCAAGTCATGATTGTGTGATAACTAAGATGAAAATTGGGCCAACTTGAGCCTAGTTGAAGGGCCCATGCTGATGCTAGATAGTGGGCTTCATCAGGTTTTGTCAAATTCAACTGGCGAGTGATTAACTTGTCCTTAATTTTACCGGCTAAATATTCGAATTGAGGTTAAATATTTTGATACTTTTTTAATTATAAATTACGTTAAAAATATAATTAATATATGTCATGTTAAAAAATAAATTTATTATATATTATATTAAAAAATATAATTATTATATATTATATTAAAAATATAATTATTACATATCATGTTAAAATTTTTTTTATTACGTTAAAAAATTAATTATTACATACTATAATGAAAAAGTTATTATATAAAATCATAATATGAATTGTTTTGATTTAATAAAAAAGACTTTTTGATAAAATTATGTTTCTGTATCTTATTCTTTCAAGTTAACGTCTTACTTCATCCTATATGCATAAGATACCTTTCATCTTACCTTTAATTATAAAAAATTAAAAATATTTAATTTTTGATTATTATGATTAAAATATTCAATCCTAAATTAATAAAAATCTAAAAATTTTGATCTCAAATTGAAAGTTTAGACTAATTTTATCTTACAACATGATTTATAAATGGGGCTTCATTCTTTGACCCGCCTTCTTCTGTTTTATATTAGAAAAATATGACTGTTGGTGTTTGTTTTGACCTGTCTTTGTCTTTATCCTCCTCTCTACACTCTTTAGTTTTGACAACTAAATTCAGTGTATACAATACCTTCAGACCCAACTTGCTCTTCGTTCAGTGTCCTTGTCCGAGGAACTGATTATGTCAAGTCAAGCTAGTAATGTTTTAAAGTCTAAGGATTGGCAAATCAAAGTTTATTTTTGATTCAGTTGACCTAACTGCATAAATAAAAAGTGTTAAAATTTGGCTTTTAAAATCATGTAAAAGCCACCACTGTCGGTTCTGCAAGTTGCCACATATATATATATATATATATCTGTATATATATGTATGTAATTTGAAGCAACCCTTTGGGGTCAAGATTCTGATACATTGGAATTCAATTCTTTGAACATGACATACATTTAACAGGAATATCCAAAAACAAATAACCAAATGCTAACAAGTGTTAAATAAGGCATTTGATCTTTACAGCTTAGTAACTGATATACCAAAAGCATTGAGTAGATAAACAAATTAAAGCTGAAATCAGAAATCACACGAGGAATAGTTGGGCAAACCCAAAGAAAGTTGTTGTTGGAGATTAATGCATCAAAGTTTGGACATCGATCAATGAACATATGGAATCAATGGCCTTTGAAGTAGTGGGGGCAGTCAAGGTGCTCACCATTCAACAGCTGGATAAAATTTGGCATTGAGAGAGAAAGAAAGAAAGAAAGAAAGAAAGTTGTTGATCTGACAAGCCGCAACGCCCAGGGAGAGTGTGGTCCAAGTTCCTAGGAAAGAAAGAAGAAGAAGGTCGTCGAAATGCCCACGTGATTTTGTATTGGAAGGTGCTCGGAATCACGTGCCTTTGTGTAACATTTTAGAACCAACATGACCTTATGATTCTCTCTCTGGCAAGTTGCGGGAAGGATTTTGCATACCGAGACGGAGAAGATTTCAGAAGCAAAGTTTTGGTTTTGTCCTTTAGTATGGCAAGGGATTTGTGGGTGAGTGGCCTAGCTTGTAATACTTCTCTTAAAAATCTTTAGCAACCATATGCAGTAGTTTGTATGAGAAGATTTTTGGTAACCAAAATGAGATTCATATGCAAAATTTGTGACCCTAAAGATAGGAAGAAGTGAATCAACTTCAATTAGTTCGTATAATGGGTCAATAATGAATACGACAGTGTCTCAAATCATTGAATTGGGATCACTTTCTTTCAATTTGTTACCATGCTTCATTGGCCACTCCTTCCTCTCACATTATCCAATTAGCATGTTTAGCCAAGCAAAATCAAACTCATATGAGCACACTTTTTTTCTTTTACCTCTCTAATGCCCACCCATTTGCCAGTTGCAATCGAAAGTGATGAACTAACTGTCAAATACTAGTTGTAAACAAAGTGGCAGCACATAGCCGATAGAGGAAAGCCAAATCCTGTTGCCTGTTGGCCGTTTCTATAAATTACGTGTACAAATTGAAACAAAGGCCCTTTTTGACAAATGGAAAAGAAGGGAAGAATGTAGAAACAAGGTCCAATTGCTGCAGCCTGCACGTAATTGAACCTTTTGAACTATAAACAAGAAGGACTACTTGGATAAAGAAAGATTTCTGATAGATTAACTGAACAAAAATGAAAGGTCCTTTTCCAGCCCACCACCTCATTGAGGTTCCAATCACTATTTTTCGTTTCGCTTTATCCGTTTTACCATGAAATTGGGTAGATAGTAAGTTAAGCTAGGGTTGGTCAAGAGTAGACACATGATTTGCCTTTCAAAAAAGAAAAACAAAAATAGACACATGATTTTAGGCCCTGGCCTTGTTAAATGTTAAAGGTCAAGCAGCTAGCTTTGTTTTTATGATACTTTTCACATCAACATAATTCAGGTGGAACGGTAGAGGTCTTAGTCTCGACTGGGGCGCGGTGGTAAAGCCCCACTCTAATGACAGGCCTGCAATTCCGTAAGAAAACAATAATCGATCCATGGCCAACTTGTACAAACCACTAATTTCCCAGCATGGGATTTAAAAAGAAAGAAAAGCAGCCTTTAAAGACATTAAAATGACTAAAAGAAAGAAATTTATAATCTTTGGAGGCATTCATTTCATGTTTAACAACGCAGATGGGAAATACCTTAGTGAAGGCAAAAGCTAGAAAAATAACTGCAGTGATCGGGAATAATTTGCTTATATATACCGGAAAACATTTTTAACAGCACATTATAAAACAAATTGTTACAATAACAAAATTGAAGACCTCGATTATCCAGTTGGCTAGAGTATCAGTCATTCTGTCCGCAGGGCTTTAATCCAATCAATTTCCACTCTGAAATCACCTGGCCCAGACTTAGCACCTGGAACACCACCTTCAGCATTAACTGATAGAGACATCCCAAGGATACGAGATGGATTCATCTCCAACTTTGCATCTATAACATTTCCTCTCCATGTTGGCAAATAATGAGCAAGAGGAATCTGCAAGATAATACAAACCATATCAAGCAAAATCCAAAAATTTCAGTAATCTTAAAAATGAAGAAAGCAAAATTTGTTTCAGTTTTGCTGATGTAAATCAATCCTTTGTCCCCACCTAAAATAATATTCCACAAGGGATGCAACCGAGCCAACTGAGACCTCTCCAAACTCATAGTTAGAAACCTAAAATGTGCCATTTGCAAGCTCTTACATATTGCAAGTGGATGTCAGAGGCAAAACAGAAAACTTGCAAATAGTCTTTTGTTTCCTTATCAGTTAGAATATAGCAGTAAGCAGTAATTTCATGGCATAGTTTAGATTTCTTTTCCAGTCATATATCTGACAGCATCCCACTGATAAGTGAAGAAAAGAGCTTCACTTCATTCATCACACTTGAATTATGTTCACCAAAGCACACAAGACATCAACTTATAATCCATAGTATTCTCCTTTTGTTTTGCCATGCATTATCTATTTATTTCTTTTGTCAGTAAAGCTGAGATATAACACAAAAAGCACATATGAAAGTGACTCAGGTTGGTTAAATTAAACAAATCCTTCATAAATTCTCTTTTACTTGGAAAGAAGGTTTATAAGATAGTATCATTTTAGATTCTCCATAGAAAGTGTGTTAGAGCAACAAGGCATGGCACGAACTGATGGCATGACACTTACAGGGAGAATTTGCCTAGTATCATGGAAGTTAATCATAATTTATCACTGAACAGTTATAAAGAAAGATGGCCTATAGCATGGACCAAATCCTCCATAAGGAATTCTGAATTTCATATCTAAAGGCCATTATCAACTTAAATTCCATGTTCAAGAGTTCAACAATCTTTTGAAATGCAGTAATATGCAGGATTTATGGCACCCTACGAGTAGAAACCACTAACATCAATCTCTAAGAATATGAGCTTGAGGAATATGACAGTTTTACCTTTGCAATATACCAGTTGTCTTTGGGTACAAAAACAAAAGATTGCCATGAATTATCTTCTAGCTGTCCAGGTGAATTCACCCAATTCTCTGTATAAATCTGCATATAAGTTTATAGGATTCAATACAACACTTGTCAGTTATATATAATTTAAACGAGTCAGAAAGATAGAAACAACATAAATAAAAGCCTGATATCTGTTAACTTCAACATGAGGAAAAACAACTCACAGTAGATATGTAACTTCTCCCATCTCCTTTGAGCTTTAGTGCTATTGTATCATATGCATCCAAATCAATGAAGCCGTCAAACTGCAGAAATACCAAAAGGGGTCACTAAATGTAAAAATATTACTACAAAAGAACCAAGGTTATGATGCTTATACAATATAGTTAGAATATTCTGCTTCAACTAACAAGAGAAGCTATCTCTCTACATGTGAAATCCTAAAAGTAACCTAAAATTGGAATAATATTCACTCGTTTGAAACCAACAGAACTAAAATCTCAGATATTATGCATATACGTGCACATTGAACTCTGTGAAATGTCTAAATGAAGGGAAAACAGAACCATAAGGTTCCAAAAAAGACATTCTAATTACTGAGCTAGCAAAGGGGCTGGTCAGCATTAATATTTTTGTGACATTCGATGGAGTGACCAGAAGAAAATAAGAAACAAAAGGACACAAGATAAAAAAAGTAAGAAATAAAGAAACTAATCCAGAATGATATAAAGCATAAGAGAAAGATGAAATTTTAAACAGATTAAGAATGAGTTTGACAAACAAAACATAAGAAGCCTTGTCATCCTACAAAAGCCTACAAATAGATTCCTGCAGGATCATTATCCATTCAAAATGTGAATTTGAAAGTGTACTTTTAAAACAAGCTTGTATAGATCATTCATAAGGCTAAACCGCCTAACAAGATTCATCCGTATAGTTTCAGTGACTAAGGAAGTTCCTTAAGAGCATAACTTTTCTTTCCTGGAAAAATCCATCTATCCATGAAGTTGCCAAACCAGAGTCTATCCTAAAGTCTCATTGGAAAAGCCATGAGCAAAAAACACAAAAAGTTGACATCATTCATATTGATGCATTAAAACAAACTAAACTATTACAATCAAGACATTTGACAATTACTTCAGACAATTAATTTATAGCAGCTAAAATCACTGGAATAATTGTTCACCTTCTTGGACCGCATTCCACAGAAGCCGCTCCTAGTTATGTTCCATTTTGAACCTTCATTTACATCCAGGGAAAGGTTCCCGGAAAACACTCCTAACAGGGGGGTTATCCACGGTCAGAAATAACATAGATGATGAACAACATCAAAGCATGAAATTGTCATGGTGAAAAGCGCATCATAAATCATGGATGCCAAATTCAATTATCGGCATAAACTCAAGTCCTTGGAGCCTTCTCAATGAACCCTGATTGACACCCACACATACATATTGTAAACGAAGTTTGCTGGTCATAGAAAAGAAAATCACACCGAAACTTATATAGACTATTACCGTTTGATGTATTTCCTTCATCTTTGATCTCCAATGAAGCCGACGACAACCCTGAAAAAAAAAATGATTAGACAACATACTGCAAAAGTTTCATTTAGAAAAAAGAATCATGTTGAGAAACTGAAAGCTGAGTGAATGCAGACTTACCTCCAAATTCAGAATCAGAATAAAGGTGCCATTTCTTGAGCTCCTCTTTTGAACTGAAATTGAATATGTATTTTTCAGTCGGAGGAATCCAATCTTCAACATTCCATGTCAGAGCTACACTCATTTTATTTTAACAAAATTTCAAGTCAAATTACCCAAGAAAAGAAAAAGAGCATGAATAATAATCAGATTATTCAAATTATTAATCAAAAAGCTTTTACCTTTCTTCGTTGCATTCAGAGAAGCTTGCCACAACCCGCGAAACCTTGACATTTCTTCCCAAATTAAATTCAAACTATCAAGAACTCCCAATAACTTGAAATTTGAATAATTTAGTAATAATACGGAAATAAATTTTGAATTAAAGTAAGCAAAAATAACAGTGGCTAAAGCTGTTGCAGCTACTGTTTGTCACCGTTCACCGTCGACAACGAGCAGGAAGAAAAGAAGCATCTTCTACTTTCCTTTCCTTTTTTCACTTCTTCTGGGACCGATAACATCGGCCTTTCGTTTTTGGGCTTTCATTCATGGTTTCGTAGTTTAATGGGTGTGGGTGGGTTGGAGTTCAAGGCCCAATTACAAATCAAAGTTAAACAATACATTAATTAACATTTAGTTTAAATTACGTTCACGGGTGGTAAAATAATGTGCAATTAAGTACAACACTTGTACCTTAGGCTCTTCACACATATTTAGAATATACTTAAATTGAGGATTAATAGTTTATAGACAACAACAATGAATTAAATAGCGACCCAACGTTATTTACCTGATTGACAAATGTTCGGCTAATATTTTAGGACCCTTTGAGAGTTATAGATGGACATCGTCAAAGGTAAGATGGAAACCTTTCATCAGAACAACAACTTAATCCCAAGATTATCGACAAATTATTGTAGTAAGTTCACAATAATTACAATTACTCTATTCTAGATTAATGGGGTGGTTGATTAATTTAATTTGACTAGGTATAATCAGCATTGTGGTCACGGCATGTTGCCCGTACCTAAGACAATTTAGCTTAATAAATTTATGAAATCGCTTTCCCTAAGATGACTAAAAAATCTCAATTTAACCCTAATGGAAGATATCAAAGGGTTTGGAGGACAAGAAAGTACGGCAACTTATACGATACATCTTGGTGGACCCAAAAGATTACAGAAAATTGATCGATTGTTTTTTTTTTTTTGAGGTTTTCGATAATGGGAGCAAGAGCTAGTAAGCTGAACAGATTGATCGGAGGTCGAAAGAGTAGGCGGTTCGGGGTTCCTCCGTCGACGCCGAAAGGTTATGTTCCGGTATGTGTAGGGGTCAACGACGATACAAGGCGGTTCATCGTGCACAGGACCACCTTACGTGATGCAGATTTCCTGGAGTTGCTATGTAAATCAGCTGAAGAATATGGGTTTTGTAATGAAGGCATTTTGAGGATTCCTTATGCAGCAAAGGATTTTGAGGAGTGGATTATGATGAGAAGGGCTAAACAAAAGATTGTTCGTGTTAGTTGAGGATGTTGATGTGGTCGATATGGGGAAATTGCTTGGATTTGGATTGATGCTAATCATCTGGGTGTACACTTCCCAGGAATAAGATGTGGGCAGCTGTGTCCTTTCGCTGGATTATGATTGCTGTTGTGTGAAGAAAAGATCTTCTTTTCTTATTTTAAGCTTCATTTTAGATTGATGATCATTGCAACTTTTATAAGAACGAACTGCATATAGCTAGTTATGTGTCATTGTCACAGTGTTCAGCTTTCATGATTTAAGTAAAACAACTTGACAACTTTTACATTTTTAACATTTTTTCTATCAAAAGGTTGTTCTTCCTTCTTATGAGAAAACCAAACTCTTCTTAAACCCAGACTTTCAGAACAATGTTCACTTGTGTATATCAGAAAGAAAAATTCATGCCTTTTGATTTCTTAAAAAATCATTTTGCATCTCTCTACACGTGTAAATTCCCAATGCTCATGCTCAAAATTCAACAGCTAAACCTTTCCAAGAAAATGATTACGTGCATAGTTAATACTAAACACAATGCCAGCTCTACATGCTTTCTGTATATGCCTGGAAATTTAAGGAAATCTAGCTTTTGTTTTGCTTTCTAGAAACAGAGTTCTGAATGATTGTTTGCCCTTCTCCATTCAAAACACATTCTGATTGAGAATAACAATATCCTATTAGTTTGGTTTTTTGTTTGATAAATCCTAGATAAGAAATCTTTGAATTTTCCTTGTTTAGTAAAGATGAAGAATTTCATTTCCAATCTACAAAGGATTACAAGGATCAAACATTAGTCTTTGGCCGGCTTCATTTATCAGAAAGAGCTGGAAAGCAATAATTTTCGATCAGATGTATGTTAGTTGCATACGATTCAGACCAGATAGGATAAATCAATCTAGATTTCAAGATCTGGGTATAATTCGCTTCAACATTTAGCTTCATTGTTAGTTCCGTTTATTAGATCCAGATACGATCTCCATATGTTGTGTGGTCTTATTATTAAAACCCAGCTTCCTTTTGGCTTAGTCGTTTGTAATCCTCTCTGTGAATCTGTCTCAAAGGGAAAATGATCATCATTGCAGTGCAGTGCGTGCAATTGGCATCATATTTGGTGGATCGTATTTGGAGATATGAAGAACAAATCTCTCGGGGACTACATCTAACATTGCAGCTGGTGGTAGACCCACTTGCTGTCAATTCAAAGAGTGACAATAAACTTGTGTGCATTCATGTTAACATTCTTTGCATTTACTAAAAAGTATGTTTGATTCTCAACTTGCGTTGATTGCTGCCAGTTGGGAAGCAAGCATTGATCCATAGTTGAGTACAATTTGCCCAAATGGCATGACACCTAACAGCCAAGCATACCCAAATTCCACTGTTCCTAAATAATTGATTGCATCTTCTTTCTGCAGATAAATCATTCTCGTTTATATTAGGTTACCATATAGTACGTACTACATATCATGAATTGATCCTCCAAGATTTTCTCAAACGCTTGTGTTTTGCATTGTTATCTAATATTTAATGTAATTTGATGCGAGAACATTTCTATTAGAGGCTTCTTTTTGGAAAATAAGCAATCAGCACATGGTGTAACTTAGACAAACTAAACTCCAACTTGCTAGACCCATCAATTCTAGGCTTCTAATTTTTCTTTTTCCATTTTTTTTTTGGAATTATGCAATTTATGGCTGGAGTCAAACTAAAATTCCAACTATAGAAGGACCTAATTTCTTTTGATGTGGTTGATCCTTGATAAGCATGTGGAGACGCTTTGTTCTTTGGACCAAAAATCTTGTCTTCAATTGGCCTACTTTTGGTACGATTAGTCAGTTCAGCGATACAACAACGTTGAATTTTCTGTTGGTCTGATTATTTTGCATGCCAATGTTTTTTATAATCTCAAGTCTAACGGGAAAAGATGATATCATGGCTGATTATATTTCCTAGGAGAAGCAAAAAGTTTGCGGCGAAAGCCGGCAACATCGGTCCAGGCAGCCCATGGTAAGCAAGCGCACACCGATATAATTCGGGTGGCGGTCCCAATTGTAACTGCGCTGGCTTCTGCTGCCTTGGAGCGCTCTTCTCTCTACTAAAATGGAGACAAGGGAACATGAATGATTGAACCATACTAAAAAATGTCACACTCAATGCGCCATGACCTTGGCCACACACTCTCCCAGAAGGAAGAAGAAAAAACACACCAGAGTCACATACCCATCATCCTACAACTGTTTCTCCAGTAATGATTTGGACGTGCAATCTTCCCGTTCATCAAGTTGGTAAACACAGTGTCGAGTGCTAAACAGTGTTTGGTTATTTCCTAAAAATAGGTAGAAATTGCTAAGAAACAAGAAGCTTTGAGATCATGCATGCAAGTTGCAGTTCCAATCATTTAATATCTCCATTTGTAGAGTTGATGACATGTATGTGATGAGGCATAATTTTGTAAGTTTGTGGCTTCAAACAGTTCGAATTCACTTCAGGATATATATAAAAATTAATGTCTTCTCCTTGGTCTTGTGTCTCCCTCATGTGTCATATTGTTTAAAATAAAAGGCTGTAACACTCCATGTCAGATTAAAATATGACATATACATACATATATATATATATATATATAGAGGTTTCTGATGATTCCTTTTACAAAAGCGAAGAGATAAATTTATGCAGGCTATTATTGGTTTCAAACTGTATTGATCACTGTATTTTATCCTTTTTGTTTCAATGCGGTGTCTTTCTTTGATTTCATCAATGTTTTCATTCATAATAAAAACAAGTGATTAATTTAAGGATTCAACGCCAAAACTTGGGTTCATTATGCTGTCTTGTTGTGCTTTCTTCCAAGGAATTTTGTCATTCACGCAAAATTAGCTAGCTTGTTGATACTTATAAACAATCCCTTAAATTGGCAAAAACAAATTAATTGGCATAATTAACAAACAAAGAGTCAAGCGTCAACGCGTGGATGTTACAAAAGCATCCCCAACTACTCAATCATTGCAGCTTATAATTAATTAAACCATGAATTTCTTAATAATTAACTTAATGTGAAAAACTAATATGTCAAAATGTTTTATAGTTAAAGGTCATCTACACCTCTAATACTGTGTCCACTTTCGAAAGGTTACCCCAATTTTTTTAATCTCTGGACTCTCATAATTTTATGCCTCTTAATTTGTTACTAATTACGCTGTGATTCGAGTCCACTATGGTATAACGTTTGGTGCTGAACCTAACTCCAGAGACTTATTAATTATTTGCAAGAATTATGCCAACCAACCGAATTTTTGTCTTTTGGTGTAAGGTAAATTAAGGTGATATATACCAACATTGACACTCTCCCTCAAATTGAAACGATTGTCACACCAATTTGCCTCAAAAATTAGATTGAAAATAAGGAAAGTAAGTGGAATTGTTTCACCAGCTCCTTAGTGACCGAGCTGGGCATGATCTGAATTTGAAATAACATTGGCTTTGTGATCAAATCTCTTTCACCGCGGATTCCTTGACGTATAAAAAAGGCTGAGATAACCTATTCAAGTGCATCATCAATCATAGTACAGTAAGAGAAGGCCTTTGGATGGGACGATGCATATATAGAGAGGGCTTTGTCGACATACACAGAAAGATTCTATGAGCATATCTTGAATGAGATCTAGTTTTCTGGGGTGATGACAAAGAATAGGGGGACCAAACTGAAGAAAATGCCTTGTCATATGGGCAAGACTTTCCTCAGCATCAACATCTACCAAGTTCCGTTTTTTCTCTTAATGAAACTCTGAATTGACTCAAGTGGTTTAATGGGGACAGTTGTGGAGACAGAGATTGTAGAGGGTTTGTAAAGCATCATGCTTAGGTGAGCTTGATGGTAGCTCCTGGCAACCCCACTTGCTCAAACTTGCTAAAATTTCCAGGAGAGAGGATCCCTGTTCTTCATTAAAATGGGCCTTCAATCCTTTTCAGTACAATCGACTATCAATAGCAAAGGGCCATAAGCAAAACTAGCTTTTGTATAATTTCTTTTCTTTTTCTCATTTTTCTAGGAAAAGTTAACAAGCTCTTAGGTGGATTATTTACCCTTATTCTCTTAAAAAGAATCAACAAAGTGAACTAAAGGAGGCTTCTGATTTGATCTCTGTCCAGTATGGCTTGCCACCTTATTCTATGCTGGCATAAATGGTTGAGAATTAGGTCTCATTCCACTTGCCTAGCTATATCTCAACATAAAATAAACTACATAATAATAATGAAAATTAGAAAGAAAGAAGAAGAAGAAGATTGAATAGCAGCCAAATTTCCATTTCTCAACCATTTTTGGTTATAAACATATGATAGTAAGATATAGTTCTTACCAAGCATTAATGAAAGAAGGAAAGAAATTTAGAAAAAGAACAGAAAGAAAAGAAATATTCTAATTGATGAAGTTCTTGAGCAACATCATCCCGCAGTAAAATCTAATGGGTTAATACTCACCGTCCCAGAAGGACACACAAACACTAAAATTAACTGCCTACTACTTAATTTGCATTATTATTTTCCTTCCTTTTTCATGCCTCTAAAATCTTTTTACAACTTTGACAAAGCTTTTAGCTTTTCTCCTCGTTGTTAGCAGGTGTAGAACTCAACCAGCTCTTCCATGGACCCCAACTGAGCCCCATCGTTCTCAAGCATCCAAAGCAAGTGCTCAAACAAAACAACCTCGCAAGAAACCACAACTTCACCAGCATCATCATCGTTAGCATCACCGCCGGAGGACCGATCAATGAGCTCTTGTAGCAGAGGATGACAGATGATCTCAGACCCTACCAGATACCTCCGCCGCGACTTTCCAACGTAAACTGCATGAAGATCTTTCGGAATTGCCTTGTCTTCCGGTTCTGCAGCCGCTATGGCACTGCTGCTGCGGGCGAGCTTCTTTAAAGATGGCCATCTTTTAATTGCAGACTTGAGCTTTGTCAGCTTCCCAACTTTTGCCATGGCTCTGATTGCGCTATATATATATATATAACTTCCTAGTTTTGTTCTTGGGTATTGGAAATGGAAGAAGAGGAGACTATGAAAGAAGAAAAAAGGGTTTTTCTGAACTGCAGAGAAATATGGAAGGAAGATTCGTATATAAAGAATGGAGGGGCACTAGCTAGAGAGAGGAGGTGAGGAAAACATTGCAAATACGTGCATGGCCCACTGTTTGATATATACCAGCTAAGAATGAGATATTTGGGGTGCAAAAACCAGTTGCCCCTTGTTTGGCATTTGGTGGGGACTTTTTGGTTTGGTTGCAGAAACTATTTTTGTTTTTTTTATAAAATATTTTTGGGTTTGCATATTTACATGAATACCCTCTCTCTCTCTCTCTTGGGTTCTAATCCCATTTTCATGTGATTTCTATTGTGTGGTATGTGATTAACCACATGATCTGCTCTCCGAAGTTTTTCCCAATTCCGTTGTTGGGGTCATAGCAGGCGCGGGCCACGTGAATTAATGAATCCAAACCTTTGTGGGCTCAAAATCAAATATAAATTTGCCTTTATCTCCTAATATAGACATGCTAGAGTTGTATGCCAACTTTTGGCATTGATGAAAATATGTATATATATATATATATATATATATATA